TCCTGTATATCTATCTCAGTATAAAGTATTACTGTACTTACTTCACAATCCAATTTTTCAAGTTGAGAAACTGACACTGTGTGCTATATGCTATTGACAAAGTTCTATATTTAGTTATTGACTTTTAATATATTTTAGAGAGCCCATTATATTGTTCAGATTACTCCTGCATATCTATTATAATGTAAAGTGCTACTCTACTGACTTCACAGTACAATCTTGGAGAACTGGCACTACATGCCATATGCTATCACCAAAATTCTATATGTGATTATAAACTGTTCTTATATTTTAGAGGGCTCATTACATTGCTTAGATTGCTCCTGCATATCTATTTCAATGTAGAGTGTTCTTCTACTTACTTCACAATACAATCTTGTATAACATGATACTATAGCCACACAGTCAGTTATCACTCAGCAAGCAGTACAATCTTATCTTAACATTAGCAACTACCAACTTCACAGACATTTAAGTAAAGCTTGATTCAAGGTCAAAAGTCAGTCAGTGGCTACTGTTACTAATAAGCACATCACTGATATACCTTCAAATTCAAGCTCAAATTTCACTATCTCATATTCTGGTATAAGGGCTTGCCACTTTCCAGTACTACAAGACGTAATACACATGTAGCAATTCCATACATCCTCATTGTATAAATTTAAATTGATAACATTTTGAGTCTATATATACAAGCTAGATATAAGCAGATACCTGGCATTGCAAGGCTTGATAGAGAAAATCAGAGAGATATACCAAGTTCCTCTGCAATTAGAGTAGCAGCCTTCTCTGCAACTACAAGAGCGGTAGAGTATGTATTCTGGATGATATTGAAAAAACTTAGCAAATAAAGATATAACTTGAATGACCACAACTTACAGCACCAACATTAGATGGAACTATAGACAGGTCTGTTTCAAGTGTATATGAATGCCAGAACAGCAGATGTGCTTAAGATACACACCTGCTACTTTGAGGCCTTGGACCCCATATACATTGAGCCTTGAGTCCACAACTCCTCCATCCTTGAATGGTTTCATAGCGCATGTTCCAAGCTGTAAACAGTAGTTCATAGTGAGCACTAGAGCCTAGACAGGTAGTATGCTCTTACAGAATGCCACACTGTGGTGAAATTCTTGCGTGTAAAGTCATCTATGACTTCATCATCTTCAGCAGTGTACTTCAGATCTGGCGAGTTGGGGGCCACAGGAGATTGCTCTGCTATGCAGCGCACTTCGCTCTGCTCAGAGAAGAGAGGATGTCCTTCCACAAATTCTCCGCGGAACAGAGGGAGACGGCGGGCATATTCACGCTGTCTCTTGTATCCCCATCGAAGCAAAGCAGTATCCGATTTGCTGCAAATCGACAATGAGTGAAGTTACATAGCTAATATATACAAAAATGCTCACTCAGTGAGGAATGCTGCATCGAAATCCGGGTGAGAGTTTATATCATCTGCAGAGGTGATATGAAGGTGACCATGACTATTTGGATAATACAAGAAATGGAGAAGGTTGCAGCATTTTCGTACAGGCATTCCAGCTGGATGAGGCCTGAGGGCAGAGCATTAGTATTGATCAATACTTGGCATTATTGCAGGATAAAGAAGTCTACTCACATTGTAACAGCACCTATTCCTATCCACATAATGGCTTTGTCTGGTGTATTAACAAATGTACGATCCCATGTTGCACTGAAGTCTGACCCAATCTCCTTCAATTCATCTGGCAGAGGCCTCAATTTAATGCCTGCATCAATTGCACTGTAAAATGTGATATGTAGGTATTCAGGTCTAGTATCACAACAAGACAGAAAGCAGCTTACTTCTGTGCCAATAGTCCTGAACCATCCTGTGACCACTGAGCAGTAAGTTCTATTTGAGAAATATGTCAAGGGCCAAGTAGTTGATAATAGTATTACACATACCCTTGATTGCATCTGGTTGCTGCTGTATAATCCCACGCAACGAGTCTGCTTCATCATCTACATAATATTGGCAGAAGACTCCCAAATGGTCTATGTTCACTAATGAATATACTTGTGCGCCATATAATATGGTCAGGACACACAAACCTTGGTAGTTCTCTCCTACACCAGGAGAATCTGCCACTTGTGCTATGCCAAGCTTTTGTAATAGTGATGCCTGTCCCACGCCCGATCGCTCCAGGATGGCAGGGCTGCCAAAGGCACCAGATGATAGTACAACCAACTTTCGGGCTTGAGCAACTGCAAGGCTAGTCATGTTGTTTGGCTGCACATTTTGGTTAGGGAGGAACTCGACACCGACAGCATGATTATTCCTGCCAAAAGATGTAGAGTGAATTTGAGAAGAAAAGATCATATATTTTGGCAGACTTACTCAAAAATGACACGCTTTACTTGGACTCCTGTCAAAATCTGGAGATTAGGCCGCTCCCTATCGTAGATAAATCCATGGGGAACATCTGAACGTCTGCCTGTTTTGGCATCTATCCACCTAACACAATGCTGTAATTTAATGTGAAGTGTTAACACAGAATTTCAGATACACACTTTGCCCATTTCTATAATATTCCAGATCAGACAAGTCAAGTTATGTAGACCATATAGAACTTTCTGAACATACCCCATACTTGTTGCACTCATAAAGCCCATTTGGATCGTCTGTACTAGTCCTCCTTGTATCATACTTTGCACATGTCTCCAGGAAGCTATCACCGATGTTAGTGAATTGGCCACCATAAGAAACCTTCAGTGGTCCTTCGTATCCATGTGTATCCATTCCTGGCTTTACTTGGAATGTCTCCGTCTAAAAGTATACTCAATTCAAGTTCAGCATATATGCACATAAGTCAAACCTTTCGAAGAAGTGGCAGTAAGTCGCTGCACCCCCATCCCAGATTTTTGTGATCATTTTTCCATGCATCAAAGTCTGAAGCAGATGCTCTAGTATATTTCATGACTGCAATGTCACATATTATTAATGATTTGCACTGTAGTAGAAGACACGCACAATTAATGCTTGATCCCCCTCCTAAACACTGTCCACATGGCACTGGAAGCAAGCGATCTCCTACATTAGGGGTGGCCTTTGACATGTAGAACTTTGTGGTGGGGCTTGTAGGCACCAAATGCTCAAAGTATCGTCCAGGTTGAACAACGGATACATTATCACGAGTAGCTGGTCCTGACTCAAGGACAAGTATTGTTAATGATGGATCAGCAGTAGCTAAGCGGCTTGCTATCACACAGCCACTCGTGCCACCTATGCAGGTCAAGTCAGCTTTTGGTGCACTACACAAGGCAGGGTGAAATGCGTACCACCAGCTATGATAACATCAACATTTAAGTGTGCAGAATCAACGTTAGACATTTCAGATGTGATGAAGAGTTCGAGCAGAGGAATGAAATTTATCCATGTTTAATTAACACACCACCTTTATACTGGCTAGATGTAGATGTGCGAAGTTTGCACAGATCCTCAGGCAAGATGCTGGAAGCGTTGATAAGGTTGATGAGTCTAGAAGATAGCTGCGATAGAGAATTCAACCATTCGGAATCGGACTCTCAAGCATGAACAGAATGGAACATCACTGTTTGCATCTCTGTCCAACAGTTTGATTGAGGAAGAGGTCATCGGATCATGAGTAAGACAGTACATGATGTTGAACCAAAGTTTCGGACCTTCTATTTGAGACATTATCATTACCCAGAGGCTGATCCCAATGTCAGGAAGCACGGATCCACTCTTCATGCCAATACAGGTGGGCTGTGTCGCGGCATAACTACAACATGTGACATGATAATAGACTAGAATGCCGAAAGATTGAACGTCTTGCTGCTGGTCTGCCACCCACCTGTCTAAGGTCAAATCTTCCTATCAGTGCAGCGGCAAGGAAATAACCCCTTCGAACGTGCATCCCTCTTTATAGAGACGATCAATGAAGCCGTGGACTCTATGGCCGCAGATGGGTAAGAAACCGAAGACTGCATATCATTAATTGCTCATGTTGATCTCCTTTACGCATGCATACTCACAGATCAAAAATAAGGACTCAACTCCGAAACTCTTGAATGGCAACTCATAATCCTACGGGACTTCTCCAATTTTTCACCATGCTTGGAGTTCGGATTGATAGATAAGTGCAATATGCACACGACTGTCGTCTCAGACGCCGAGACCCTGAGCCGACACTGCAAGAGCGTTTGCGGCGCTCTGCTCTGGGAATTCCTGAGTCGGAAGTGGAGAGAGTTTGGGCTCCGCACAACGAGGCAGTGAGCCGTGTGTCACCATTCTCCCTACCTTCTGATCGTTCGCGCATTCACGAGGGAGTTATCAATGCACTTCTAGGCCACCAATGTGATCTGGAAGCAGCCTGGTGCTTGTATCCACGCCATATGGTAGGCTCCGCGTATCAAACTGCACAAACGCAAGGAAGTTTTGTGGAAGAGGACCTGACGTGAGCTTGTTCCATCTTGTGCACACAGTTGACAAGACGTGGGAACTGATATTTTAAGTTTACCATCACCTCCAGGACAGTATTGCAATAGGACGGCCCCAATGGAGGGCTTGTTTGCTATGCATAAATAATGTAGCAGGTCCACAGGTGAGTACATCTACATATTGCGGCTTAATCGCATGCATAACAGGGTACGGCGGGCAAGAGTTTGATATACACCGGGTCATAGATTCAGGAAGGGGAGGCGTGCCAGTGGCACATAGGGCTGCAGACCTAGACAGTATCAGCAGGTCTTCCAGGTAGTAGCTGGAGTGATAGATACAGTCAGACGTATAGGGCATAGGGGGGACTAGTACGATCAAACACAGATTGGCTCCAGTGCTCACAGATCAAACGAGCGGAAGTAAGCACTCGTGGTATCCACAGGAACCATAGGCTACATCATCTTGATCAGACCAAGATCAGGCAACAACGGAACTATATGTGTGAAAATGGACACAAGTCCTGTTCAGTCTTGGTATTCGAACGAAAGGGCACGGGTACTTCAGCCTAAGAAGAACAACACTAATATACAAGGGTTATTCATCAACTTGAAGCTCTCACTTGAAAATGACAACGTCGCAACTCATTCTCTAGTATTTGCTTGGTGCTGATATATTCTGGTCTAGTGTTGATTGCACACCGCTTCTAGACAGAATGAGTGCTTAATGAATCTTCTGGGTAGCTCTAAGGTAAGCACATCTGACTCCTACGTCTTAAGCCGCTTATGTCAAGTACAAGACATTGAGAGCTGATCTCAGGGTGCACATGTGCAGGGGCTTCAAGTCTCGACTAAGAGAGCGCCTAATCCCTATCTGTCAGCTATCCGAGAGCAGATGCCTCATGTGTTGGCCCTCTACACATGCAGCAATGTAATATTTGCAGTGCCCCCTTCACAAGAGAATGTGTCCGCAGACAACCACATGCACACCAGCTCTTGGCTTCCGTCTGGCAGAGTAAAATCTTTGCAATCATCCACTCGGAACTTCCAGGGGTTTCCACCTGTATCATGAGCAATCTTCTCTCCTGGACACCAGTTCCTCATGCTCCTGCTTTGCTAATTACGGCCATACTGGACGCGACGTTTGGCGCATGTATGACCAGCGCTAGGTGCCAACTCAGGTAAGTCATAACCGTGGGCACCATACAATACATGTAGAAGAACTATGGGAATTATGGATGAACCTTTACATTCTTAAATTATACTCTTGTGGTTTGTGGTGAGGCTGGGCACTCATGCCCAGTGAAAATTCCGTCGGGGACTGGAGGTATATTGTGTGATGACGAAGGCTCTACTGGGCTCGAAATAGAGTGACTTCACTTGAGTATTTGAGTATACTACTATTCACTAGTAGCTCATACACTGCTTATTCTCCATGTCCACTGCTACAATATGAACTAAGATCTGAATATGCTATTACTGGAAGCACTGCAAGCAGTACCAAAGTCCATATGCAATAACCATGCACACTATCAACCCCCTCCACCTGTCACACACCAAGAAGCTCCCAACAAATACAGACCACCTGACAGCCCAGGGAGCTAGCAGGTCAGAGATTGGACACACAGATGGATCTGAGTCTCATCCAAAGTCATTGCGATTTATGATGTCACAAGATAGTGTGGGCCCAGAATGTGATCCAGCAGCCTCCATGTACACAAATATGTTCAGAGAGGTACAATTACCTAGTAGATGCTTACCAGTAGAAGGGCCCAATGCTGCCTCACATGGCATGTGAAAGAGAGGTGCAACTCACTTTGAAGATATGGGTAAAATCACAAACACAGTGAGCATGCCCTGCATTCTGCATTGGCATAATAGAGGAGAAGGTGGTGGTGGTAGATGAGCTCTGAGTCAGAAGTCACCATACCTGAGGGTAAGCCTGAGGTCTCCAGTGTCCGGTGTCTTCCTTCTTTTTTATGCAATGCCAGTAGTGCAGCAGATTTGCACTATTGATTATGTTATTGACAAAACTCTTCATATAATTATTGGCTGTTTATGTATTTTAGAGAGCTCATTACATTGCTTAGATTACTCCTGTATATCTATTTCAATATACAGTGTTGCCCTACTGACTTCACAATCCAATCTTGGAGAACTGACACTACATGCCATTATTTGCTATTATATACTATTTACAAAACCCTGCATACAATTATTGGTTGTGAATGTATTTTAGAGAGCTCATTATGTTGTTTAGATTACTCCTGTATATCTATCTCAGTATAAAGTATTACTGTACTTACTTCACAATCTAATTTTTCAAGTTGGGAAAGGCAGAGAGAAGAGGCTGCAATTATAACAGTGCTTAGTATCATTAGAAGCAGGATGCACATTATTATGTAACTACACAGACTTGATACCTGTGTTGGGAAGTAGGTGATGAAACCTCAACAGACTTGTTATATTGACATAGACACCTGCCAATGTTAAATTTTGCTCAGAATATCATTGCTATCAGACAGGCTCTCAGATCTGGACCAAGACTTAGCATTCAACTCTGAGTACATCAAGACACAAATGCAGCAAGGAACATGTTAATGTTGCTCATGGGTATAGACTTAGATAGTCACCCCTGGAATCAACATGGGCACAACCTAATACAGGATGACTTATTGCTGATACAGTAAGACGTGACAGACATGACACGGTAACATGACACCAAACAATTCAAAGACCTGGCACCATTATATATTCAGTTCTATGCATCTGTTCTGTATAAATAGATTTTATCTTCTCTTCTGCGCTACCAATATCTGCGCTACCAATATCAGCGGAAGAGCAGAGCAACTTGTCATCTCTCATCAGCCATCATTTTATGTGAAGGTTTGATATGGATAGGAGCCTTGTGTTAGCCGGCAGATTGCTAGCTCCGGACAACCTCCGGCGATACCGGCTTTCTGCTTCTATCCGCAGTGATCGGCAGGTGATAATAATACAAATGAACTTGTCAAAAGATGTTGAGACGCTTGTGCAGGTTGACAGCGGGCATCAGGCTACTATCATCTTATCAACAATCTGCTGACTCTCCAGATGACACTTAAGTTGGTCAATCTCCAGGCTCATCTGGTACTTTCTCGACCACTTCTTCAGAAACACTATCATGACGGACACTGCAAATATGACAATAAGTGCTGCCCAGCTTGTGTATTATGCCCAGTTTGTGTGAGTAGAGCTTCTTGATAATTACTGTGGTGCACAGCTCACCATAATTCATTCTAGAGATGGACCTGCATTAGCAGGGGTCTTCATGAATATCATGTGTGACTTGCAACTATGGTATTGATTACAGCTAGATGAAACTGAAACTGCTTTATGAAAACAGGCTTTATGGTGTTATGATTACCCAAATCTTCTTCTATTATACAACTTATACCAGGTGTGTAAAATGTGATCCAACAATTTCAGAGATTTACTGACATAAGTATTCATGCTTAAGAGACAATGTCTGGTTGAAGTACTATGTATGTCTACTTTCACTCTATAAGCTTGCTAAATGTGATTACAATGATTCCCAATCAGGTTGGTGTTCTCTTTTTAGCTGATAGTCTAAATTCCATCTTTAATATGTGGTAGATATACAACACTCTGATCAATAATTTTGGTGAGTTGTTAACTATCAGAAGTCTGTTTGAGATAATCATATAAAATTAGGCAATGTAAATGCAATCTTGTATGCCAACTGGTGTAAGTCATATTTGTTCTTTTACTAATATACACTAACATTATCTTGTTCATTTAGTGTTTGAAACAGGTGAGTTTTTTGGTTTTCTTTTTGTGTTGTGGTAAGCTAATATTAACATTAGAGGAAGTGCTAGCTGTGTGTTTGATAAAGTGTACTATTATGAATATGTTCTGACACATTTATATAGGGGTTTATTGGATGGATGGTTCAGATGTTCTATGCTTGGAGACTCTATGTGCTTACTAGGAAAAAGTGGCTTGTCATTGTAATCATGATTTTAGCATCTGGTTCATGCTGTGAGTTTTATTTTTTTGATAAAACTGGATTATAAATAACTTGGGGATTCTATTTGATATATAGTAGCTGCAATAGGAACTGCAATCAACATTGCACTGAAACCATTCATACCAAATTTCTATAAGTATGAGGTATGTGAATATACTTGATGATGAATGTCATCAGACTCAGCACATATTCAATAGGCAATTGTTCTGATATGGCTGTCTCTAGCAGCTGTTACAGATCTCATCATTGCTGTGTCTCTGGTGTGGTTTCTAGTAAGTTTTTATTATTTTCTTACCTTGTTTGTGCTCAAGAATTGTAGCGACAAATGCATTCAGACTATTCAACAACAAGCACAATTATTAATCAGATTGTTCAAAGTATGCTGGTTTTCTAGCTCTGGAAACTAGACTGATGACTTTTTAGTTACTTTGTCTAATGGCCTCTTGACTGCAGGTTTTGCACTGGCTGATATTATTGCTTTTAAGGCCTCAGTATGTCTATTCTAATTATATGCATCTCTGTTCTGATTTTATCTCTACTGCCCAGAATGGAGGACTTCATCTTGGTACTGATTTACACCTCATTCATGTTTTTTTTTTTTT